TTTTTTTCGTTAGAGGGGACCTTAAATGTTCGCCCCAGGCCTGAATAGAATTAAAGGTGGCTTACTACAGTTTTCGGGTGAAAACTATCGACTTTCTTAACTTGGAACATTTTCAGCAACTGAATGTCTTTACCGAATTGTTACTCACTGCAATTGATGTAAATTATCATTTTATCTTCTAAAAACATTTTTTTTGCTCAGTATAACGCAAAATATAGTGACCAAGCACTAAAAAAAGGCATTGGAAACTAGACCTTTTAGGGCTTTTTTCTTGGAAACTAGCCATACGACCCCATTCCATCTACTTAAAAATAATAAGTTTTAGAGAGAGAGAGAGAAAATGCTGTGGACAGAATTTCCGTAAGAGACAAAAAACGTGGAGTTTTGGCTCTTTTTATAATAACTAAAGAACTGTTTATCGGATTTGCTGGAAAAAATGTTTACAGCTTCATCTTTATGTTCCCTAACAATCGTCAAAATTTGAACCTATATTAGCTATGTCATGCAACTAGATTTTGAGAAATTTAGCGTGGAAATTGTCTTTTTGCGACCCCCATGGACGAGAGCATTGCGCATGCGTCACCGTTCGGGAAAAACCCTGCTCATGAGATCGCGCGTTCACTCTGTTTTCCCGCCTTGGGACTGCCTTTGATTTGTAGCTCTGGCCACCATTCGTCAAGCTAAAAATGTGTTTTGGACTATCCGATCACGGTCTGTTACAGCGTGGCTACCACAAGCGAACGTTCACCACTGAAAAGGGAATATGGTGACATTAAATAGGATTTTTTAAACCTCACTTCATTCTGGATTTGTGGATGATAGTACTCCTTCACTTGTCAGTCTAGAGCTTTGTGTCGAAGTATTAGTGCAGTTAACAACATTTTTCTCGTTCAGTGAGGACTTTATTTGTTAAGAAGTGAACGTAGGTACATAGACTCTCCCCCCGATTACTAATGTGTGCAAACTGCATCGTGTCAAACCGCCTTCAGAAAAAGACTTCTCGACAATCTTTGTGGACAAAGTCTTTGCTCGTTCTCGCCAATCAGAAGTATTCGTCATGGGAGCTATAAAGGTACTGCATGATGTACGTCTGTACGTACGCGCGCGCGCATAGGACGAAATGAAATCTTTAATGTTCATTAAAGGTATCGTAATGATGCTGTAAAGAATTATTTTCGTTATCTTCAAGTTAAGATTAAAAGTTGTAAAAGTTTCTTTCCTTATTCTTTACGGCACTCACTTAAAGAATGTAATGAACCATTTAAGCGGTCTTTACGTTCCATAGTAAAGCTCACCAAAATATTTCTTTAAGAATCTTTAAGTTATTCTTAAAGGTGCCTTAAAATATCCTTTAAGGTCTTATCTTTGACTTAAATGTTCAGGATGTAACTTAAAGATGTAGGAAGGAAATTTCACGATTCCTGTGTTTGTTCCAGATAAATTTTTGCCCAATTTTCAATTAGTACCAGTTCGTTTTCTTTGAGCTCAAGATCATTACTGCTTGTACTATCTAACAGCACTGTATCTGTAGTAATTTATAAAGCCATACCAAATTAAAAAGCCGGGGTGTCTTGGTGTTTTCGTAAAACAGGACAGGTGGATAAACTGTTTCCCTTTTTCGTGGGCTTCCTCATTTTGGATGCGCACAATTAATGAGGCTTTGATCGAAAGTGTAATAAATACTAGACAAATAAAGAAACAATCTTCTGATCTCAGTTACGAACAATTACATTTCATTTTTGCTGTTGTGCACTGTATAACACTCTACAGAGCTAGAATACAATTTCATTATCGCTTTCATTTAAGCGGTTTAAAAAGGTAAATGCATTATTTTAAGAACACTAATAATAAGATTGGTACGTGTTTTATTCAGAATAAAACAGAAGTATACATCTGCGTATAGGTAAATAAATATTTGTACTATATATCATTTTTAACTATCTGTTCTTTTGTATCTCATTCGTATAAGTTCAGAAAATAATCCATTTTTGTTACCTTGAAATTAATTCAAATAAAATATTTTTGCATGAGTAGCATTGTTAAGTACTGATATTTTGAGTAAACTTGTGAAAAAATCTTCTCCAGATAATATTCCTATTTGTCATTTGCACATGATTGCTTTTGATTGTAGTTGTAGTTGTCTGCTACTGCCAGCAAAATTAATCACTTAATTAAAGTTTATCACCTACTCTGTCAGTGGCAGTGTTGTCAATGACCGAAATATGGCTTACCTTTTTCTTCTTAGAATAACTGTTTTGGAGAAACCTTTATTTTCACATTCGAAGAATTTTTAGATTTCACGCATTTAGGATTTATTGATGATACCTTGCAAAACACAGATCAAAAAAACGAAACCTATCCAGTTTGGTTGTGTTCCTTTGCCAGCTTCGGCTAGAAACCGAATGATATTGTCATTTTTATGTAAGCTTATATTTTTTTTCTCGTTTGTTTCTAGCACATATTTAAACTTGAGGTTTCATTACAAAAGCAACTGTTGTATTTTGAATTAAGCTAGAACAGAATCTGCAGGTACAAAAGTGATTATTATCCAATTGTTCATAATATAACGTTTTTTTAGTTGTCGAAAATAACATAGGTGACACGCCAGTGCGAAAATTTAATTCTCGTTGCCCGGTTCTTGAGCCGAAAACCTGCGAAAACCAAAAAGTAACAAAAAACAAAGTTTCTCATTTTCTGAACCTAAATATCTAAAAAGTTTGCCACAAAATTACTTTTTAGAAACCCCAGAATAATAGGGAATTGTTTTCGGAAGGTTTTCATATATTGTTTGATCTCGGGGTTATCCTTGTCTCGCTCGCGTGCGTTTTGTATGCGCGAGAGATCTTTCGTGGCCTGCTTAGCGCGCGTGTCACGCACGCTGTCATGAAAAAAAAAAAATTCTGTTGTAAGGCACCATAAATAGCCATAGCCATCGAGAAAGCACTGAACATAATATTTGTAGTTTTCTGTACAGAAAGCTTTCTCTTACCTTAAAAGCATCTATATAATTATTGAACTTGCCACTGATAGCCATCACGCATCAAATATATGCCAAGTTGTGTTTACCGACTACATTCATGATTACCTTGAAAAACAGACCAAAAACACAAGAACTACAATGACGACAATGAACTATTCTGTTAAAAGTAGATAAAAAAGAAACCTGTCGAATGTTTTACGGGTAAAATTCATATAAAACAGTGGATAGTGTTTTTCGCGCGCTCTGATTGGCTACTCAATCAGTGAATATCCTGCTCTATTCACTGACACACCTCCAGTTCCTTCGAGCGAGCGACGCCAAACTCGCGTAGGTTGCGAGCAAAATGCTTTCCCGGGTTGCTGCTGTAACAAACTAAGAAATTTCACAACTAATCAAGCAAGCTATTTCCGAAATACATAAAGAAAGGTGACGAAGTTCGGTTTGGAAGTTTTAACAGGTAAAGCTTTGTCTTTTTGACTTGAATAGTTATCGATAAAACCGGTGAAAAAGTTTTTGTTTACAAAATCAAATGCAAATTAAGCTTAAGTCTTGCGTTACTTTATTTAGTTGACTTGTTCATAAATAAGCTTTAAACTAAATTTAATAATCTTTGTTACAGAATTATTTTAAATACAAACAGAATTCACAACTCCCTTTGAAGAAACTTCCCCGCAAGAGCTAAACAAACGCCTTCAAAAGTTTTATTTGTCGCTAAAAAAAGGGACGACCGCGGCCGTTCGGTCATCGCGCGCCAAAATTGTAATCGTTGGCAACAGTAAATGAGTTAAAAATCATCATTTTTGTGCTCAATTATTTCACTGTTTTAGTATATACTAAAACAATTATTCACCTCTTTGGGTATTTACCGAAGCCGCGAAGCGGCGAGGTAAATAACCAATACTAGCCACCTCCACTGAGGTAAATAATTGTTATTTATTTTTTGTCAAGAATTATCAAAGGATATATTATCCTCCAAATGAATTCATTTTTATTCCTTTTGTTTCAGTGATGCCGCCGCTTTAAAGCAAGACGCAAAGAAGCTTGATTCAGGCTATTACTTGTACGTATAAAAAAATGTTGGTATTTCCCATATTTCCATAGAAAACTTGTTGAACAGTTTACCTGAAAGACATAAAATCAGCTTGGCTAGATAGGTGACACCCCTAGCGCGGTCACTATTTTTCAATAGTAGCTTGGTTCGATAGTAGCTTGATTCAGATTATGACTAAAAGAAATGCTTATCTTTTATCAACTATCAACTGTTTTTGACAGTGACTGACGTTTCGACAACCTGTGCGGTAGTCATCTTCAGAGTCAACGTGACTGAGGTCAATAACCAGAGTGTAATAACATCGACTGACATGATGCAACTCACTCCGACTCTGAAGATGAATTAGCAGACAGGTTAACGAAATGTCAGTCACTGTCAACAACAACACTCCTATCTTAGGACTAAGTTCACCCGGACGATTAAACTCAACAAAAACTAATGTTAGAATAATTTATCAACTTAAAAAAAAAGGAGATTAATTTAAGCGATAAAGTTTAGGCACTTTGCTTTTAAGGAGAAAACTTGTCATGTGGAAATGGGTCGACAATCTCCTGTCTGAGCTATCCTGGGTGACGCAACTTCCATTCCCATACAAAATTTGGCGAAAAGTTTACATTAAGAAATAGAAACTTGGCTCGCTTAGGAAAATGACATGCCTTGGCGGGATACCCCTTTTCAATTTCGGGGTCAAACTCCAAGGAGGGGTTTTTAAGGTTGGAATCATCATTGTCTATCAGTAAGATATGTTTCAGTGATGCTGCATCTTATTATGAAACCTTCAATATCACATGGTTTGGCGGAATCACTATCAACGACAACGATGAGTTAATTTATCGTTTTCTGGGTTGGGCGTATCTCTTGTCTACAATGATTGCTCCAACCAAATAAACGGTCGTGGTTTTTATTGGTAATTAAAACAAAGTATAAACTTCCCTTTTATGAATTCAATTGTCTCGGTTATATTTCAGAGATTCTGGTTATTATCTCGATAACAAGAAGAACGCAAAGAAGGATGATTCAGGCTATTACCTGTACGTATAGAAAAATTTTGGCTTTTCCCATATTTCCATAGAAAACTTGTTGAACAGTTTACATGAAAGACATAAAGTTACCTTGGCTAAATTGGTGACAAGACTAGCCCTTTCACAATTTTTTTAAATAATAGTAGCTTTGTTCGATAGTAGGTTGATTCAGGCTATTACTAGAAATACGTTTATCTTTTATCAACTACATTAACATCTCTAAAGTTAACAGAGGAAAGAACCGACCTTAAAAAAAACAACAAAAAAAAACAACAACAACAACAACAAAAACCAAGAGAAGGACAGCTTTTAAAGCACTGTCAATAAAATCGACGAGTTGACATTATTCAAAACCATATTTTAATGGTTCCCGCTACCTGCACAAAAAGGAATGTTGGGAAAAAGATATTTAATTGATAATGTTAAGTAACTTTTATTTTAAGGAGAAAACTTGTTTTGTGTAAAAGGGTCATTTGCCTGTCTGATCTAACTAAGTGAGCCAACTTTGATTTCCATACAAAATTTGGCTCAAAGTTTTCATGCAGAAAAAGAAAGTTGGCTTGCCTAGAAAAACGCCTTGCCTTTTCGGACTACCATTTTTCAATTGTAGGGTCAAACTCCGACGAGGGGTTTGCTAGGTTAGTAGAATCATCATTTTCTATAAGTAAATTATGTGTCAGTGAAGCTGCCTCTTATTACAATATTTTTAATATGAGAAAACACAAAATGACATTGTTTGAAAACACTATCAACGACAATGCTGAGTTAATTTATCGTTTTCTGGGTTGGGCGCATCTCTTGTCTATAGTGCGTGGTTTTTATTGCTAATAAAAACAAAATTTAAACTTCCCGTTTATAATTTCAGTTGTCTCGGTTATCTTTCAGCGATTCTGGTTATTATCTTGATAACAAGAAGGACGCAAAGAAGGCTGATTCAGGCTATTACCTGTACGTATAGAAAAGTGTTGGTATTTCCCATACTTTTCATGTTATGTTTCAGTGATGCTACCTCTTATTATGTTAACTTTTATATGACGAAACACAAAATCACATCGTTTGAAACACTATCAACGACAACGATGAGTTAATTTAGTTTTCTGGGTTGGGCGCATCTCTTGTCTACAATGATGGTTCCAACTGAATAAACGGTCGTGGTTTTTATTGGTAATAAGAACAAACTATAAACTTCCCGTTGATGATTTCTATTGTCTCTATTACCTTTCAGAGATTCTGGTTATTATCTTGATAACAAGAAGGACGCAAAGAAGCTTGATTCAGGCTATTACTTGTACGTATAAAAAAATGTTGGTAGTTCCCATATTTCCATAGAAAACTTCTTCAACAGAGTTTACATGAAAGACCTAAACTAGTTAGCTTGGCTATATTGGAAACACGCCTGGCCCGGTCACCTTTTCTCGATAGTAGCTTTTTTCGATAGTGGGTTGATTCAAGCTATGAATTGAAAAATGTTTATCTTTTATCAACTAAATCAACATCTCTTAAGTTAACAGAGGAAATAACCGACCATCAAAAACAGAAAAACACACCTTTTAAAGCACCGTCAATAAAATCGACAAGTTGATTTTGTTCAAAACCATATTACAATGGTTACCCGCTACCTGCACAAAAAGTAATGTTAGAATATTTTATCATCTTTTAAAGAAAGAAGGAATTTTAATTGACAAAAGTTAAGGCACTATCATTTTTAGGCGAAAAATTGTCATGTGTAAAAGGGTCACTCGCCTGTCTGACCGAATTAAGTGAGCCAACTTTAATTTCGATACAAAATATCGCAAAAAGTTTTCATTAAGAAAAGAAAGTTAACTCTCCTAGAAAAATGACTAGCCTTTCAGGATTAACCTTTTTCAATAGTAGAGTAAAACAGGGAGGAGGGGTTATCTGGGTTGGAATCATCATTGTCTCTTTCAGTGATGCTGCCCCTCACTATGATAACTGTAATATGAGGAAACACAAAATCCCATAGTTTCAAACATTATCAATGACAACGATGAGTTAATTTATAGTTTTCTTGGTTGGGCGCATCTCTTGTCTACAATGATGGTTCCTACCGAATAAACGGTCGTGGTTTTTATTGGTAATAAAAAGAAAAAATTTAGCCTTCCCTTTTATAATTTTAATTGTCTCGGTTATTTCTCAGAGATTCTGGTTATTATCTTGATAACAAGAAGGACGCAAAGAAGGATGATTCAGGCTATTACCTGTACGTATATAACAATGTTTGTATTTGTTATATTTCCATAGAAAACTTGTTGAACAGTTTACATGAAAGACAAAGTTAGCTTGGCTAGATTAGTGACACGACTAGCCCTTTCACTATTTTTTAAATAGTAGCTTGGTTCGATACTAGCTTGATTCAGGCTATTACTAGAAATGTGTTTATCTTTTATCTGCTAAATTAGCCTCTCCAAATATAACAGAGGAAATGCCCAACTATTAAAAAAATCAGAAAAACAGCTTTCAAAGCACTGTCAATAAAATCGACAACTTGACTTCATTCAAAACCGTATTGCAATGGTTACCCCCTACAAGCACAAAAAATAATGTTGGCATAATTTATCAACTTTTGAAAAAAGAAACACATTTAATTGATAGAGTTAAGTTACTTATATTTAAGGAGAAAACATGTCATGTGTAAAAAAGTCATTTGCCTGTCTGATCTAACTAAGTGAGCCAACTTTGATTTCCATGTTTTTATTAAGAAAGTTGGCCCGCCTAGAAAAATGACTTGCCTTTAGTTAGTTTCCGGATTACGCTTTTTCAATTGTAAAGGGTCAAATTCCGAGGAGGATTTTTCTAAGTTGGAATCAACATTGTCTATTAGTAACTTGCGTTTCAGTTATGTGGCCTCTTATTAAGATAACTTTAATTAGAAGAAACACAAAATCACATCGTTTGAAACACTGTCAACGACAACGATGAGTTAATTTATAGTTTTCTGGGTTTGGCTCATCTATAGTCTACAATGATGGTTCTAACCGAATAAACGGTCGTAGGTTTTATTGGTAATAGAAACAAAATGTAAACAGTCCCGTTTATAGTTTAATTGTCTCGGTTATCTTTCAGAGATTCTGGTTATTATCTTGATAACAGGAAGGACGCAAAGAAAGCCGATTCAGGCTATTACCTGTACGTAAAGAGAAATGTTTGTATTCCCCACATTTCCATAGAAAACTTGTTGAACAGTTTACATGAAAGACATAAGGTTTAACTTGGCTAGATTGGTGACACGCCTAGCTTCTTCACTATTTTTGAACAGTAGCTTTGTTCGAAAGTAGCTTGATTCAGGCTATTAGTAGAAACACGTTTGTCTTTTATTAACTAAATTAACTTCTCCAACGTTAACAAAGGAAAGAACCGATCTTCAAAGAAAGAAAAAAGGGGGGCTTATAAGCTTGATTCAGGGTATTACTTGTACGTATTGAAAAATGTGTATCTTTTATTAACTAAACCAATTTCTCCTCAGTAACCAGAGGAGATAACCGACCAACAAAAACAGAAGCACAGCTTTTAAAGCACTATCAATAAAATCGTCAACTTGACTTTATTCAAAACCATATTACAATGGTTACCCGCTACCTGCACAAAAAGTAATGTTGGCATAATTTATCAACTTAAAAAAAAATTCTTAAAGTTAAGTTACTTTTGTTTTAAGGAGAAAACGTGTCATTTGTAAAAGGCTTATTAGCCTGTCTGATCTAACTAAGTGAGTCAACTTTGATTTCTATGCAAAATTTGGCAAACAGTTTTCATTAAGAAAAAGAAAGTTGGCTCGCCTAGAAAAACGACTTGCCTTTTCGTATTAACATCGTTCAATTGCTGGGTCAAACTCCGAGGAGGGGATATCTAGTTTGGAATCATCATTGTCTCTAGTAACGTATGTTTCAGTGATGCTGCCTCTTATTTTGATAACTTTAATATGAGGAAACACAAAATCACATCGTTTGAAACACTATCAACGGCAACGATGAGTTAATTTATTGTTTTCTGGGTTTGGCGCATCTCTTGTTTACAATGATAGTTCCAACCAAATAAACAGTGGTGGTTTTTATTGGTAATAAAAACAAAGTATTAACTTCCTGTTTATACTTTCAATTGTCTCGTTTACCTTTCAGTGATTCTGGTTATTATCTTGATAACAAGAAAGACGCAGAGAAGCTTGATTCAGGCTATTACTTGTACGTATTGAAAAATGTGTACCTTTTATCAACTAAACCAACATGTTCTCAGTTATCAGAGGAGATAACCGACCCCTCCCCCCACAAAAAAAAAACAACAACAACAACAACAACAACAACAACAACAGAAAACAGCTTTTAAAGCACTGCCATGAAGAAAATCGAGAATTTGACTCTGTTCAAAACCATATCACAATGTTTGCCCGCGCGCTCGTTTCAAAAGTAGGTTGAGTTTGATTGTCTGGGTGAACGTAATCCTGAATAGGACTGTTGTTGTTAACAGTGACTGAGGTTTCGACAACCGGCGTAGTAGTCATCTTCAGAGACGAATGACGTGATACAACTCACTCTGACCCTGAAGATAAATTACCAGACATGTTGTCGAAACGTCAGTCACTGGCAACAACAACACTCTTATTTAGGACTACCTTCACCCGGACGATTAAACTCAACAAAAACTAATGTTGGAATAAATTATCAAGTTTTTAAAAAAGAAATTAACTTAACTGATAAAGTTAATGTGTAAATGGGTCACTCGCCTGTCTGAGCTATCCTGGGTAAGGCAACTTCGATTCCCAGGCAAAAATTGGCGAAACGTTTACATAAAGAAACAGAAAGTTGGTTCGCCTAGGAAAATGACTTGCATTTTCGGGTTACCCTTTTTCAATATTAAGTTCAAACTTTAAGGAGGGTTTTTTTGGGTTAGAATTATCATTTTCTATCAGTAAGTTATGTTTCAGTGATGCTGCCTCTTATTATGATACCTTTACTATGACGACAAACAAAATCACATCCTTTGAAACACTATCAATGACAACGCGGAGTTAATTTATTGTTTTATTTGTTGGGCGCAACTCTTGTCTACAAAGATGGTTCCAATCAATTAAACGGTGGTGGTTTTTATCGGTAATAAAAAGAAAATTTAAACTTCCAGTTGATAATTTCAATTGTCTCGGTTGTCTTTCAGAGATTCTGGTTATTATCTTGATAACAAGAAGAACGCAAAGAAGGATGATTCAGGCTATTACCTGTACGTATAGAAAAATGTTGGTACAATCGACTCCCGATAACTCGAACCTTCAAGGGAAATCGAAAAAAAGTTCGAGTTATCGGGAGTTCGAGTTACCGGGAGTTCGAAGAAAATAGCCGAGAGTAGGATCAAAAACAGTTTTTACTGCACAGTGAACATTTTAATCACATTTAATTGTAGAAATATCTAGTGAAAATTCAAAGATACTTTTAGATTATAAATCAGAACATAACGTAACAAAACATAGCCTAAATAGAGCATGCGTTTTACTGTTTTGAGAGGGAAAGCTGCTTCATATTAGCCTGTGACAATCAACATTAGTCTCCGCTAGTAAACTATACTCCTACAACACGTCGATGGGAAACTAGTCCAAAATTCAATAATAACATAATTTATATAGCGCTAACTCCACTAATTGACCAAAGCGCTTTACAATTCACAATTCAATGTGTCGGAAGCCAGTAGACGGCTTTTTTCCCGACTTTTTAAGGGCTCAAAACATGGCTTGAGTTATCGAGGGTAAAATTATATAGAAAATGACCTGAAGGGAAACGAAAATTGGTTCGAGTTAGCGGGAGTTCGAGTGATCGAGGGTTCGAGTTACCGAGGGTAAAATTACAGTGAATGTATGACGGAAATCCAGGGGAAATCGATTTTGGTTCGAGTTAGCGCGAGGTTCGAGTAAGCGAGGGTTCGAGTTATCGGGAGTCGACTGTAGTTCCCATGTTTTCATAGAAAACTTGTTGAACAGAGTTTAAATAAAAGACCTTTACTAGTTAGCTAGGCTATATTGGTAACACGCCTAGCCCGGTCAATTTTCTTAAATAATAGCTTTTTTCGACACTAGGTTGATTCAGGCTATGACTTGAAAAATGTTTATCTTTTATCAACTAAATCAACATCTCTTAAGTTAACAGAGGAAATAATCGACCATCAAAAACAGAAAAAACACACCTTTTAAAGCACAGTCAATAACATCGACAACTTGATTTTGTTCAAAACCATATTACAATGGTTACCCGCTACCTGCACAAAAAGTAATATTAGAATATTTTAAACACTATCAATGACAACGCTGAGTTAATTTATCGTTTTATTTGTTGGGCGCAACTCTTGTGTACAATGATGGTTCCAATCAATTAAACGGTGGTGGTTTTTATCGGTAATAAAAAGAAAATTTAAACTTCCCGTTTATGATTTCAATTGTCTCGGTTATCTTTCAGAGATTCTGGTTATTATCTTGATAACAAGAAGAACGCAAAGAAGGATGATTCAGGCTATTACCTGTACGTATAGAAAAATGTTGGTATTTCCCATATTTCCATAGAAAACTTCTTCAACAGAGATTACATGAAAGACCTAAACTAGTTAGCTTGGCTATATTGGTAACACACCTGGCCCGGTCACTTTTTCTCAACAGTAGCTTTTTTTCGATATTAGGTTGATTCAAGCTATGACTTGAAAAATGTTTATCTTATATCACCTAAATCAACATCTCCTAACTTAACTTTCACTATTTTTTAATAGTAGCTTGGTTCGATACTTGCTTGATTCAGGCTAGTACTAGAAATATGTTTATTTTTTATCAGCTAAATTAACATCAACTTGTCGATTTTATTGACAGTGCTTTGAAAGCTGTTTTTCTGTTGTTGTTGTTGTTGTTGTTGTTTCGGTAACTTGACTTTATTCAAAACGATATTGCAATGGTAACCCGCTACGTGCTCAAAAAATAATGTTGGTATAATTTATTAACTTTTGAAAAAAAGAAACACATTTAATTGATAAAGTTACTTATATTTTAAGGAGAAAACATGTCATGTGTAAAAAAGTCATTTGCATGTCTGATCTAACTAATTGATTTCCATACAAAGTTTGGCAAAAAGTTTTCATTAAGAAAAAGAAAGTTGGCCCGCCTAGAAAAATGACTTGCCTTTCCGGATTACGCTTTTTCAATTGTTATGGCTCAAACTCCGAGGAGGGTTTTTCTAAGTTGGAATCATCATTGTCTATTAGTAACTTGTGTCTCAGTTATGCGGCCTCTCATTATGATGACTTTAATTTGAGGAAACACAAAATCACATCGTTTGAAACACTATCAACGAAAACGATGAGTTAATTTATAGTTTTCTGGGTTGGGCGCATCTCTTGTCTACAATAATGGTTCCAACTGAATAAACGGTCGTGGTTTTTATTGGTAATAGTTAACAATTATACTTTGAAATCGAGGTGAATAGCGGCTAAATATTTACCGAGCCGCGAAAACGGCGAGGTAAATATTCCCCAAGCCAATATTCACCGGGATTGAAAAGAATAATTGCTTAGTATATACACACAAAGGGATATCAACAAAATCAGAGAAGATACCATTAAAAAGTACGATTTGATTGACATATCAAATCGTGCGTAAGTTTAAAAATAGATCTTTGCAGAAATTTCAAACATCATTCACAAAGTTTATCATTTCGCAAACAACAGCGTAATGGCTTAAATGGAACCGCTAAAAGTTTGAACTGTTTCCTTACCTGAGAAGAGAAGTAGAGCTTTGTTGTTTTCTGTTGACTCGCCAAGTTTATAGCCAAAAGGGTTTGTTGTGTCCTCTTCGCATGAAGTGCTGACAAAAAAGGCGGCTCGGTTGCTCCAGGTAAGACGTCGTCTTCCTGTATCATTCTTTTTCCTGGTTACTTGAAACGTACAATTTCTGCAAACATTTCCTTTAAATTTTTTTTGTCATAAATAAACTTCAATTTTTGAGTCAAAATTTTCTTGTTAGAAAACACTGAGTTCACGAAACGGCTTCTTCTACGCGAATACACGTGAGTTGTAAACAATCCATTGAGCACAAAACTCAGCTACAGTAAATTGAAAAACGCCGTATTGAATCCATGCAAGTGTTTTCTTGCCTTAAAAAAGGTCAGCCCTAGGATTTTGTCGACTTTTAAAAGATCGTTCTCTAAAAAAATGAGAAAAACCTCACACATTATCCACTCATGTTTTTTAAATGGAAAAGTAAGATTCTGGTCTGTTTATGTATTTTTTTTTTTATATAAGAAAAGAAAATTGGGGTCAAAAATAAGGGCATTATTCTTTTTACTAATCATTTTGATTTAGGCTGAAAAGAAAATTTGTTTATTAAGATTGACTGAGATCCCGCGGAGCTTTCCAGGAAAACTGTTATGATTTCAACGAAACCGCGGTGCCCCCGGGGGGGTTACGTAGGGTAATTTTTGCTGGGTATGTGCCGCTGGCCTCTCAGAGCCCCAAGACCCCATATTAGTCACTCTTGGGCAAATATGTAATTTTTGCGATCCCAACTTAGTCACTTTCTATTTATGTATCTACCTTATCAATCCTTTAAATAGGTCATCAAAAAATGAATTGACCCATTTTTTTTAATAAATTGAATGAAGAACCCTTTACTTTTCACCTACAGTACAAATATCCTGGTACGTTTGCTAACCGAAAATATGAACAACTCTCTTACCCCCAAAATCCGAAAATGTGCGGCCCCATTCTAGTAACTCTTGAAAATGCAACCCCATTATAGTCAATCCAGTCGTGAAAATGTGACCCCATCCAGCGGCATATCTCCCCATTAGCCTCTTATAAGGAAGTGCCCCCCCCGCCCCCCGGCTGCCCCAAAACTATTATCTCTTTTGAATAGATCATCTTGTTTTAAAGTCGTCGTTTAAGCGCATAAACGGAAGTATTTTCTTTCTATATTATCGGTGAAATGTTCAGGACAAATGTGGATTCGGTTAGCTTTCGCGTATTTATTACGTAATGCCTTGTCACGACACGAAAGACAATGCGGGATTTATAGATTTATACCCCCTTTATACCCGATTCTAGAACAATCACAATAATAGTCGTCTCTTCTCTTTTTCATACATCGTATTTTACTGGAATAACAATCTTAGTTATGTTTTAGCCTCGCAGACACAGCAGTAAAAAAAGGTAGAAATATTTAACTAACAGAAAAGACCGACTCCCGTGTTTATTCAGCGATTTTTCAAAATACAAAACAATTGTTTTGCGTCGCCGACCGTACTTTACGCCTGTCAGAGCAAAAGTGACAATTTGTTTAGAAAAACTAACTAATGAACCATCCTAATTTGAAGGAAAAATTTCAATGTTATTATGAAAAGCTGTTACTATCGAAAACTGTGCAGCTTGTCTTGTCACATTCATAGTCAAGGATTATGTTACATGTGAATTCACGTGAAACGAACCTTTGGACATCAATACAACGCGTGCCCGCTGCCCGATTTAACAACACTTTCTTAAAGCTTTTTGATAGACATGCTACTTATTGCTACTTATAAGTCGACCTCAAGAGTTTCGTAGCGAGCGGAGCGTTCTTTTTAGGCCGTGAAGCCACCGAGCGAGCTACGATTCCGCAAGTAATAAATTCTAGACATTCTTAGCTGTTTGACTGTAAATCAACAGAAACAAGAAACCAACACCAGCAAGTCGCCCCACTGGGCCACCTAGACAATATTTTCAGTCGCCCGAGGCCAAGTCTTGCGCCGTTAGATCTAGTGCACAGCCTTTACTCGTCGTCCTCCTGGAGCTACGCTGTAATCTTACTTTTCCCTTCTTTGCTAACGCAGTATCTTTTTTCTGCTTGTGCAATTCAGCCTGACTTGCACGTGATTCGAAGTTGCAGCCAATAAAAATCACACAGTTTTTTTCGGGACGGGCTCGGGATACGGGAAAGTTAAAAAAACAAGGCAATTTTTGACTCCCAAGACGACGAAAGGAATGCGCTACCGAATTTTTAACGCTGGCTGACTACGTCATCCCGCGTAATAGTCCGAGAAAGCGAACCGATCAGATTACTTAAATCACCAAGATCACTGAGTGTGTATATACCGAAATCAAAATATAAACTTCCCGTTAATGATTTCTATTGTCTCTACTACCTTTCAGCGATTCTGGTTATTATCTTGATAACAAGAAGGACGCAAAGAAGCTTGATTCAGGCTATTACTTGTACGTATAAAAAAATATTGGTACTTCCCATCTTTCCATAGAAAGTTTACATGAAAGACTTAACCTAGTTAGCTTGGCTCTATTGGTAACACGCCTGGCCCGGTCCCCTTTTTTTAATAGTGACTTTTTTCGATAGTAGGTTGATTCAAGCTAAGAAGGATGATTCAGGCTATTACCTGTACGTATAGAAAAATGTTGGTAGTTCCCATGTTTACATAGAAAACTTACTGAAAAGAGTTTGCATGAAAGACCTTGACTTTGTTCAAAACCATATTACAATGGTTACCCGCTACCTGCACAAAAAGTAATGTTAGAATAGTTTATCATCTTTTAAAGAAAGAAAGAAATTTCATTCATTAAGTTAAGGCACTTTTATTGTTTGGAGAATACTTGTCATGTGTAAAAGGGTCACTCGCCTGTCTGTGCGAATTAAGTGAGCCAACTTTGATTTCGATACAAAATATCTCATAAAGTTTTCATTAAGAAAAGAAAGTTAACTCGCCTAGAAAAATGACTAGCCTTTCAGAATTAACCTTTTTCAATTGTAGAGTAAAACAGGGAGCAGGGGTTATCTGGGTTGGAATGATCATTGTCTATTAGTAACTTACGTCTCAGCGATGCTGCCTCTCATTATAACAACTTTAGTATGAGGAAACGCACAATCACATCGTTTGAAACACTATCATCGACAATGATGAGTTAATTTATAGTTTCCTGGGTTGGGCGCATCTCTTGTCTACAATGATGGTTCCAAGCGAATAAACGGTCGTGGTTTTTATTGGTAATTAAAACAAAATTTAAACTTCCCGTTTTTAATTTCAATTGTCTCGGTTACCTTTCAGAGATTCTGGTTATTATCTTGATAACAAGAAGGATGATTCAGGCTATTACCTGTACGTAAAGAGAAATGTTTGTATTTCCCATATTTCCATAGAAAACTTGTTGAACAGTTTACATGAAAGACATAAAGTTAGCTTGGCTAGATTGGTGACAAGACTAGCCCTTTCACTATTTTTTAATAGAGGCTTGGTTCGACACTAGCTTGATTCAGGCTATTACTAGAAATATGTTTATCTTTTATCAGCTAAATTAACATCTCCAAATTTAACAGAGGAAATACCCGACTATGAAAAAAAAAAAAAACAAAAACAAAAAAAAAACCTCTGGCGCATCCGGCTTAACAAAAGTAATTGTTCCAATCAAATAAACTGTCGTGTTTTTTATTTGTTATTAAAACAAAATATAAAATTCCCATTTATGATTTCTATTATTTCTATTTCTTGTCAGCGATTTTTGTTTTTTTTTTTAAAAAAAAAAAAAAAAAAAAAAAACAAAAAAAAAACCTCTGGCGCATCCGGCTTGACTACAATGATGGTTCCAATCAAATAAACGGTCGTGGTTTTTATTGGTAATTAAAACAAAATATAAACTTCCCGTTGATGATTTCTATTGTCTCTATTGCCTTTCAGCGATTCTGGTTATTATCTTGATAACAAGAAGGACGCAAAGAAGCTTGATTCAGGCTATTATTTGTACGTATAGAAAAATGTTGGTATTTCCCTTATTTCCATTGACAACTTAACAGACCTACAAAATAAAACAGACCTACACTACTTAGCTTGGCTATATTGGTAACACGCTTAGCCCGGTCCCTTTTTACCAATAGTAGCTTTTTTCGATAGTCGATTGATTCAAGCTATGACTTGAAAAATGTTTATCTTGTATCAAATATATAAACATCTGCTAAGTTAACAGAGGAAACAACCGACCATCAAAAACAGAAACATACCTTTTAAAGCACTGTCAATAAAATCTACAACTTGACTTTATTCAAAACCATATTCTAATGTTTACCCGCTACCTACACAAAAAGTAATGTTAGAATATTTTATCATCTTTTAAAGAAAGAAATAAATGTAATTGATAAAGTTAAGGCACTTTTTATGTTTAGGAGAAAACTTGTCAGGTGTAAAAAGATCACTCGCCTGTCAGTGAGCGAACTAAGTGAGCCAACTTTGATTTCGATACAAAATATGGCAAAATATGCTCCCCGGGATTAAGAAAAAGAAAGTTGACTCGTCTAGAAAAATGACTTGCCTTTCCGAATTACCCTTCTTCAATTGTAGGGTAAAGCTCCAAGGAGGGGTTATCTGGGTTGGAATCATCATTGTGTATTAGTAACCCATTTTTGAGTCATGCTGCTTCTAATTATGATAACTTTAATTTGAAGAAACACAAAATCACATCGTTTGAAACACTATCATCGACAACGATGAGTTAATTTTAAGTTTTCTGGGTTGGACGCATCTCTTGTCTACAATGATGACTTTAACCAAATAAACGGTCGTGGTTTTTATTTGTAATAAAAGCGAAATATAAACTTCCGTTTGATGATTTCAATTGTGTCGGTTATCTTTTAGAGATTCTGGTTATTATCTTGATAACAAGAAGGACGCAAAGAAGGATGATTCAGGCTATTACCTGTGAGTATAGAAAAATGTTGATATTTCCGATATTTCCACAAAGAACTTGTTGAACAGTTTACATGAAAAACATAAAGTTAGCTTCGCTAGATTGGTGACACGCCTAGCCCTTTCAATAGCTATTTTTGAATAGTAGCTTGGTTCAATAGTAGCTTGATTCGTATTATGAACGTACTGTAAACTTCTATCAAAATGAATTAACTCTTCTCTGTCGTCTTTCAGTGATGCTGCCTCTAACTAACCGTAGGTATTGAAATTGAAAATTTATCTAACATCTAAGGCAAAATATTTTAATAGTCAGTGTTGATATAGGACCGACAAAAAAGGAAAGACAGAAGTACAACGCTTTAAATGGCGTTATTTAAAAGCCATAACTATGATATTAAAATTCGTTCTTCTTGGCGGTGGTAGGCTTGGTGGTCGTCGGGGTAGGCAGGAATTGATTTCATGAATTGTTATTTCTTTCGTTGTTTCTAATCCTCTGACTTGTAAAGTGTAGTCAATTTGATGTTTTCAGTGTAAAGTCCTCTTAAATCTTCTCTGTTTTGTTTCAGCGATGCTGCCTTTGGCCGATGACAAGGAAAAGGCCGAGAAGCTTAATTCACATGATTCAACATTAACGGATTAATGTAGACGAAATACTAGATACCGGATTAAAGTAGATGGGATTGACTTAGAATAAAACAATATATATGTATGCTAATCAAGAATAATAGGGGATTAGTTGAGGGTACCTTTAAGTTGTGCATGGAAAACTCTTGATTCAAAGAAAAATTAAAGTCAACAGTTTGATCAAGTAACTTCAACACTGCTTTCTTTTTGTCACGTTTAAATTTGGTGTTCAACCCTCACGGACGAACTTCCTCTTCTTCTTCTTGTTCCTACGAACGGGGATTGTGGAATGTAAATTTACTTTCTCACAAGAGAGTCAATAGGGACCTTAAGCAAAGACGTTTTTGAGCGACGCACGTCAACCGGAAGTGAGGCCTTCTCCCTTTTTATATGCCTTGACGCTAACAAACTTGTATTGCTGAGTTTCTTTTCTCTTTTAAAGACGATTTACCCGAGAGTTTCAACCAAACCGCTCCCCAATGATGCAAAAAGTCCACTTCCGGTTGACGTCCGTCGCTCAAAAACGCTGTTGCTTAAGCTCCCTGATGTCGCGTTGGAGGCGACCGTTGGGACGTTGTATAACAAATAAAATATTAAGGTCTGCGAATGCTAAATATCATTGCCCCACCAGGAATTTCGCCCAGAAGGCGAAATCTCGAGGAGGCACTCTAGTAGCTAGCGAGTATATCATGGAAAGTATTTATAGTTGACTTGAACTAATTGCAAAATAAGACATCACGTCTTTACCACGTTCGACGCACGCATAAGAAATGTAGAATGTAAAAATAAAAATGTCCTAGAAGTTTTAAAATCCTCGAAA